AAGATGTATACAATTGGTATGATATGTTTTTATACTGAACAATTTGCGAGATGAAAAATTCTAAATGGCCGCGACAATGAAAAAATATGCTTATAGTAATAGAATCAAATGAATTAAAAAAGACACTACAATACGTAAAATACCAAGAATCGTATATTAAAATATTTGTACTTTTACTGACTAAAGGAAAACATTGGCAACTGCTAATAATCCTACAATTGTAAAAAAAATAACTTGTATAATGTAGATTGAAAATGGTCATCTCAAATTCGTTCACTCTAGATGTGGAATGCAATTAGAATTCTTTAACAATATTAAAAGGTATAATAATATATTAAATTTTTATAATCAGCTCAACAATGTATATAATCTATAATAATTTAAAAGCCTAGATCCAAACTGTGATATTTATTGCACAAGCACTCATGTGGCTTATAATTCCAACGGGAATAGAGCTCACAACCTCATGTTAATGTTGTTTTAAAATAGTGGAGATAAAAATAAATGATAGTGAGGTGGGTGAAAAATTGCTACATACGAGTATGATTATCTAAAACATTTTTGTAAAGAAACTAAAATATGTTTTAATTTAAATTACAATATAACGGCAATTTCTTTCTCATACAATTTTTTTAATAAATAAACTGGGATATAATATAGTGTAAGTATCTATTACAGAGATCACTATACTTGTCAGGCAAGCAGGTGATCAGCTTACTGTGCCCTAACCAGACCATATATGCTTAAATGAGTCTAAATTATAATCGCTGAAACCCACCAAAGTCTTGTAATGCGGTCCGAAATATAGTTTATATATATTGAAATTTACTGCCACAAACTTCACCAAAATTATCGAGCTGTGCTTGGTGCCACAAACATAGGCAATACGCCCACCTCCAATAGGGAGGGTAACTTTAAGAGCTCACCTTGTGCGCTGCGAACCCTACGACTATCTCATTAATTGGCACTGAATATATCTATCTACAAGCGAATATTTTCAAAACTATCCGATATTCATTAAAACTCTTTTGAATTAACTGCAAAATGACAAGTAAGTACAAGTTTCAAACGGATTACTCTGCAGTTTTCAGTGCCATATAATGTGATAACTACAACTACTGAAGTAATTTATTGCTGGATACATAAGGGAATATAGATTCAAGAGAAATATATTTACCAAAAATTGCTTTAAAGTGTATATAGGTAACTTTTAAAGATTCCCGAGAAAGGCTACTGTAATGTACTCTAATGATACAATTATTATCAAGTAATGTCAATGGACAATAGATACCATTTGACCTGCCATTACCCCATGACTAAGTGCTTACTTGCTACAGCAAGAATATACAGCCAGGCGGACGCGGCGAATAACCGCCACTCCCCGCACCACCCACTAATAAACATATCTAAACAACACCACTTAGGCAAAATTGGGATACTGTTTTGTATATCATTTGAAAATTACTAACGCCTAAACAAGTTCTACACTGACTCCTACATAAGATACATGGCAAGAACAAAGGAAACGTTGTCAATGAGGTATCACCAAAATATAGAATATAATTAAAGTGTAATGTTAATTAAATTATACAAAAGAATAATACTTTCAAATATACGGCTGAATAATAAATGCCGACGATAATATTTGAAAAATTACATATATAAATATGATATTTAAACTTGAAATTTATTCATATTGAATTTCACACATAAAATAGTATAATTTGTAAAATTATCCAAAACTTATCACACCACTTTTTAATAATTTTATGCAATCCTAAGCAATATAATTAATAGCGTCAAACGCTCCCTTTGGGGCTTTCTTTAAGTTTTATTTCGGTTAATTTACGTCACTAACACACAATAATTTTGATCATTGGACAACAAATAAAAAATTGAACATTATATAATATTAAAACCCTGAATTATTAATAAAACAAAAAAAATTGGCAACAATTACTAACTAATCTTTACACATAATATATAATAAAATAATTACTATGTGCATGCACAAATATCATATGAAAATAATTTGGCAGTAAAAGTAAACTCTAAAGGCCTAAAACACACTGGCCAAAATACTATTTAAATATAGGCCCGAAACATATTTAAACAAAACAGTAAAACGACAAAATCAGAGTATTAATCACACCTATCGTCCGCGAAGGGTATGTACAGACTCATTTTAACCTAGTTAAAATAAAGAAAATAAAATTCCCTAATACTATCGGGACAAAAATCCTGAAACAAATAACTTAAAAAACAATATGAAAAATAAACCCAAAAGTTACTCACTAATAAATAGAGGATTCAGACTCAACCTAAAATTCGAAGTGTAGTTCGAATTATCACCGGCACGTGGACTGACAAACTCCACTTGCCTCTTTACGATTTACCACATGTCTTTGCATATGTTGAAGTCTTCATTTGTAATTTGTTTGTTCATTGTCTCTCTAATATTGCTCATATCACATTGAATGTCGCTTATGTATTGAATATTTTAGAATTGTTTCAATACACAACATTTAAAACAAATATTACTAATTAAGTACGTAGGTTAGTTCAATAATAATGTATTTATAATGTATTACTACAAATAGAGCTTTTCGAATGATAATAATATGGCTCAGCAACACACTATTCGCGTTACGAATATGTAATGGAGATTTAAGGTTCTCTTAAAGCAAGTTAAATTATGATGCTTCCATTTCTTTACATTATATAGCTTACAAAACAGGAACTTAAATTGTTCAAAATATTTTTAATGCTTATTATCTTTTAAAGGCAACATAATTTGCTTTCAATTAAATTTCTGAACAGAAATTAGAGAGCATGGCATAATAAAATATAATATTAATAAAATATCACACAAAATTTTCAGGTGGTCTGGTTAAGTACTATATTTTTGAAAACTCGAAACTTAATATTTTATATTGTAGAACCAAATAATGGCCAAAGGCAAAAAAAATTAAAATACCCAAAATATGATGTAGTGACAAGTAAAGTTAAACAATGATTCGAGAACATTTTTATAGCTACAACATTTAGCTCAGAGTTGGAAGACTGACTCACCAATCACTAATTAGATGTAATTGACCATTATTTAGAATTACAATACAAATCCATACCATATTATTATCAACAATTTTCTTTCCGCACACCCCCGATTTTTTTTAAAACAAATCTTAGGGAAATGACGTAAATTTAAAATATCGCATTTTATAAATGACGCTGTGTTCTAAAAATTATGAATCTCAATTTGGAATAAATTTGGATAGCTAGAAAAATATATAATTTTGGCGAACTGTATACACTTTCCGAATATACATAGAAATAAAATGTTTATGTTGATGGCACATTCATGAATATACTCATAGTTTTTACTTCTCACGCGTAATTACATATTCAATTAATTTAAGTGGACTGACTTTTAATACTTTATTGTTAAAGACGTTGCTAAGTAAATATGTTTTAACATTATATTACACAATAGCTATGTTATGGTAGTAGTAGCACATTAAAATCTATTAAAAAGAATCCTACACAAGTCAACACATTGATTTAATTATTTTTATGTATGTAATAAATTTTATACATATATATTTATATTAAATTTTTATGTTTCTCAGCCCACTCATTTGAAATCGCGTCTAACTATAAATTTGCGAAGTAAAATGTTCACGAAAATGCCACATAAACTCAGTTTCAATATTTATATTCTTTAACTATACCAAAATTACGTTGTACAAAATTATTGCAATGTTATTGAATTGTGGCCTTGTGATCTTAATAATAGCTCAGCATATATTTATAAATCACCAATGTAGTTTTATTTATATCAACCAAACCCTAAAATATCATCATTAAATAGCCTAACCAGGACAAACCCTTCAAGTATAGGCTCTCAAAACAAGAGTACATGGAAAACATTTTGTATAGACACAAGAATTCTGTAAATGGTAAATATATTTTAACGGACAATATATAATATTGTATACGCAATTAACCTAAACTAGATGGCACGTTTTTACAGTGTCGCCTCCTTTGGTCGTAATAAGACTAAATTTTTTTTAACAATAAACTCAATTGTGCGTTAAAATGTAAAGTCACATAATGATTACCCATGCATAGACGTTTTGCGAGTAATTATTAAGTGTGGTTGTTTTACAAACGTCGAAGTAATTTTGGAGCAACGCAACATTTATAAGGCGACACTCCTACGCGGAACCCTAATTGACATGTATTATTAACTTCACTCGAACTAGGAACCATACCAGCTGCTAAATTTAGAAAGAAAAACTAACTCCAGTCAGTCAGCGGCAAATTTTCGAGTTTTCTATTTATCAGCAGTATTTGGTAGGATGCCAGAAAACTGTACCTAACTAGTTTCTGAACTTCTTTTTAAGCATTATTTTTATAAATATTACCTAGGTACAGTATGTAAGATGCTGAAACTATTATTTGGCGTCTTAAGATAATTCAATATAAATTTAACAGTTATGGCAGATAATAAGGTGTAAAATAATAGATCCCACCAAATAATAAAAATAACTTTTGACTGGAACATAAAGTGAAAAGTAAAAGGAATATTATTAGCCTAAACTTTGGATTTTCTGTTACTATAACTAAATGCAACTGCAATATAAATGAAGGCATGAATATATGTATACCAAAAAAAGTATTCAGTGCTTTGGGAATAAATATATCAAATCCACAAGCAGTGATACCAATTTAATCTTAACATTCTAGAATTCAACAACTTAAACAATATAATAATCATGAAATAGGAAAAATTGGGATCACTGTAGTTCACTGCATTTATGGACAATATTATATATAATCAGACTAATGTGAATTTAACACAAAATAACAAAAATAAGTAGTCAAATACTGCTTTAGCAAAAAAGTTAAGCTTTGTAAAATCAGCAATTAAATATAAAAATAAAGGGAATAAATGTGAGATCTTGTCGTATGCAGACTTACTGTCGCCGAGTTATGCCTCAGACAATATATAGGGTGTTGAGGACTAGAACGTGGTGATTATTCTTAGCCAGAGTGACGATATAACCTTCCGATGTAATTTTCAAACCGCAACAACGAGAAACCTGTACAAATAAACTCTGATAAAATCAAAACAAATTACAACAAGTATTTGTAATTACAACAGTTTCTACGACACATGTTATTATCTCCAATAAAATATATGTTGGTTGATTTTTAGCACTTTATACTTTGATTTTCAGTTTTACTTCTAATATGACATTGTCTATAATTAAAACATTCTACCCAAATGATATAATTAGAGTGAAAAAAGCCCAACCATGAAATCATGACAACTCCCATTAACAGACATTGCCGTGTGGTGGTGAGGAATTCATCACCACATTTCATCCTGTGTCGTTAGAGGCAAATATGGAATAAGTCAAAAACATCCTATGGCTCCTGAGGGATGGCGGTATAACCATAACTTTATGTCAGGATTAAAATACCCAAACTAACAGCCTCATTGGTGAGAGAGATATGACTCTGCGATTGTAATCCGCCTTCAAGCATGAAGAATATGGCAAATCATCACTACAACAGTAGAGGCCACGGTCTAACAGTGGACTTTTACAGGCTGATGATGATATAAAACGTAAATAATACATACCTTGACATAAGGGCACTCAAATTCAGTAACAAGAACGCCATCTCGAGAGAACACAGCAACATGAAACTTATTTCCATGAGAATCACCAATGAGGACATCACCAGCGTCGGACACATCTATGCCATTTGGGAAATTAGTGACATTCTCACATCCAATACGACGTAGGAACCTGCCCTCATCGTCAAAGACAACCACACAGTGTCCTTTGAAATCGCAGACGTAAAATTCTTTACCTAAAATTAATAATGACAAATAAATATTTATTAATTTATAGTTATTGCTGATATTAGAGTCATGATATAATTTATAGAGACTGCACAGAACTGACTAACCCCAAAATTGATATTAATGCAATATGTGTACAATAATTATTAAATATTTAATTTTTTTTTTAGGCAAGTGTATGGGCAAACACAAAGGTAATTTTTATCTCTAACATAAATACTTAAAAAGAAAAAATCATTTGACAATTTTTATTCTCTTACCACTAATAGCAATATCGGACGGCTCCCTCATACACTCACTGCAATCAAACCAGCTCATGAGATCGCCTTCCTCAGATAAGATGAAAACTGTAGGCGTAACACTGTCCACAGCTACTATCAGACCTTCGGCGGTGACGGCCAACCCAGCAACAATGTCAATAAAGCGTACCTTAAATATTGTAATGGTTAATTTTTTAAGTAAAAAGGCTAACAAGTAAAGTTATATAGTTAATAGGAAAATTACTTACAGCAATTTTTTTCAAGAAATGACCATTTTTGGTAAATATTTGCATACGAGATCTCTCGTTTCCCCGATCGCAAACAACAAACTTCCCCGTAGCTCGAACAACGGCCACTTTACGCGGGTACCAGAGCTGGCCTTCCTCTTTACCAGCTACACCAAAGTTAAACTTGTGAGTACCCGATTTGTCAAAAACCTGTCAAGAATACAATAGATTATTATATCTCATTTATCATTAAAAGTAACCAAGTTTATTGGATTCAAGATCCGTTTAAAACTTAGTTGTACCATAACATAAAAAGCTCGTAATTTTTACATGTTCCGATGCTAGTAATATGGGTGCAGATAATAAAAACTAATATATCACACGAGTAAAGAAATCGTACCGTACAGAGGCAAAGCTTAATACAACCGCGCTGTGATAGGTACTCTACTACAAGCTTGAGGCGCGTGTGTACGTGAGCACTGGCAGCTCGTCACGTCCGGAGAGAAACTTCTTAAATCCGGCTCGGCCAGTGCTCAAACTCAGGGTTGTGTAAAAAACAATAAATTTCAAATTTTGTTTTTTTAGAGAATAATTCGTTTTAAATGAAATATAAAAAAATGTAAATAAGCTTTACGTAGATTTAAATCTTATCGAAGTTAACCGGTTCAGTGATGGTGACACGCCAGGCGTGCCATCGATTACTTTTGTATGTGGCGTATGACACGCGAGTCGTGTCTTTTTAAAAATCGTTATAACTCGCTGTAATTGCTTTTTTGGAAAATTTATCCAGAACAAAATTTTCATTATTTTGCGAGTAGTTCATGCATGCAGCTTCGTTTCTGGATATTTTGAAAATTTGAAATTTTTAGGGGTTGACAACCTTTTTTTTAACATGGTACTATTTTTACTTTGTGGGTTTTAAATCATCATGTTATGGAAAAATTGTCTAATAAGTAACAAATAATAGCACTCACTGCGATCGCTCACAAACTCAAGTTGTAAATAAATTTCTGGAAAACAAGTCTCCTGTTAAAAAAAACAATGCGTTTGTCTTATTGTTTAATTTTGCTTAAAATGGTTGAACTGCCGTCTTATTACTATCATATGGCCGAATAGACCTACGAAGTACCATGTGCTCTTGTGATATGTTATAAGGTTTATTTTTGCTTGAAACAGTTCATGCATAAAAAGTTCGCTAATAAATAGTCTTTTGTCAATCCGCCGCCGTATAGCGCCGGCGTTTTTTTCCTTTTGAAAACACTTGTTTTGCTATTCTTACTAATTAGACGTTCTCAGATCGACTTTACTTTTACATTTGTATAACATTAAATAATATTTAACATTTGTAAATATCAATGAATGATATACCTTTTTTTTTTCAAATTAAGGTTCTTCATTGTTTGATATTTACAAATGTTATTATTAGGTGAAAATTTAATTTAATAAAAACCAAGGTTTCCAGGGTGATTTAGCTGTACCTACTTATATAAATGATTTTTTTATAACAACAAAAAATAGTACAAAAGGTTTGTAATCTCTTCATAAAAAAAGTCACTTTCTCTCAATTTCAAAGAAAACGCGTAAAAAAACACGTAGTTACCCACTAAAAACAAGTATCCTTCCATTTGTAACATATGTTTGATGTCAAATAAACTTAATTAGGTCTAAAGTAAAAAAAGCGTAAAAAAGCATAAAAAAGAACATTACTTTTACACATGGCGCGCCCGGCGTGTCATGAAATATTTAAATTTTTACAATAAAAAAAAACTTCACATCAAATTTAGAATTTACCATTTAATTAAAAGCCACAACAAATTGTCGAAGAACAATAATGATAAAACATTTAGAATACGTAGTTTGTAAAAAAATATTAAATCTTAATTGTCTATTAAAATGCTGATAAACATTTGTTTATTTAGTTTTATCCTCCTGTGCAAACTCTACCAATAATAAGTAAAAGTTTTGACATCTCTTTAGAAGCTTTGCCTTTGTAGTTTCTTTACTCGTGGTTATATAGCCTCATATAGCCCATAGAAAATCATCTACATCTACCATCAATGATAGATGTAGATCTCAAAGTGCTCATTTGTCACCCTTATTCTATAAAAAACCAATTAATTTGATCTTCCACCTCCATATTTTAAATAATGTACATATTAAAAATAATGTGCACTTCTGAAGGTTATTAAAGTTATTAAGTAAGTTGTTATTTGAAGTAGTATTTTTAGAAAATGGTTTATAGAATTTGGTATAATTAAGGTATAGAACAAAGTGATTACTAACAGTAATACGGTGATTGTTGGTATCAGCAACAATGATATCTTCATCATTTCCAAGGCAGAATCCATGAGGCGAATTAAATTGGCCTTTGCCACCGCCAAGTTGGCCAAATTTAAACCTTATATGCATAGGAGTAGCTTTAGTAGCACGGACAAGAGGAGCTGGGGGCGCAACTAACGCAGCCTCCTCTGCAGCTGTAAGAAGTGGCCTTCCCGGAGATACACCGCGCGGTCCTACTCCCCCTACACCACCGATTCCACCTACGCCACCGACACCACCAAATCCATTCACTTCTGAAAAATAAAACAGTGTAATAAATATGATGCCGTGAATTAATAAATTGTAATCTATTCAGAAAGAGAACTGTCGTAGGATTATTATTTAATATAATTTCTAATAACATAATATAGCACTTCAGTGCCCTCAAACCACCAGAGTTCTCTTTCCAAAAAGACTTTAAATAACAAAATGTCTTTACTATTTACCAGTATTTAGCCCGAGCTTAGCAAGAGCTTGAAGATTATTAAAAGCTTGGGGCGAATTAAGATCACCAGCCAGTAACTCAGCAAGTGTAAACGGCGGGGCTGGAGAAGCGTGTGGTGGAGGTGGCACATCCTTTTCTGCAATGCTGGCTAACTGTTGTAAATTATATTCCACCATTGATGGCAAGGCAGGTACACCACCCACGCCAGGGACAGTGCCGACTCCAGGTACACTATTAACGTTGACCACGCCAGGCATAACGCTGGTATTGGTAACCCCTGGTAAAGGTACACCCGGCACACCGATAGGTGGCACAACCCCTACGCCAGGCACACCAACTAAACTTCCAGGCCCTGACACACCAGTCACTCTTCGAACATTCCCCAGGGGAAAATCATCAAACACCGACGCATTTGTTACGGAAACAGCTGGAGAATGTGTGTTTGATGCCACCGACACAATTGCTGATGATTCACTAGCCCGCTTTCTCTCTTCGGCGCGTGTCGCTTCAGTCCGGAATGTACCAAACGTCTCTTCTGTAACTGCATCAAACTTTTCTAATTTGGTAACAAATTCCAAAGAGTAATCGATATCAAACTCTGGAGCTCCTTCCAATAGACGTGCAAATTGTGAAGCAACGGTTTTCTTTAACATAACTATCTCTGTGCCATCACCGCGCCTTAGCAGCCTTGTTGCAAATTTGCAAGCACAATCAATTCGTTGGACAGTCTTGTCAACGCGATCAAATAAATCCATTACTTTTAATTCTCGTTCTTTATGTAAGCGTTCAAGTTCTTCAAGAGCTTTTTCACGGCGTCTTTCAAGGGCAGCTTTATACGCACGAAAAGCTTCGTTGATAACACCTTCAGCTTCGTCTCGCTGGCGCTGAAGATCGCCTAAGGCATCATCCAGTTTTGCAGATGCACTACCAGCAGCCTCTGCTCGAGCATTAGCTTGCACAATAAAATTTCTTAATTCAGCTCGAAGATTTGGTTCAGCATCAACTATTCTTTCACAACGATGTTCTCCAACCTTATGATCCACAGTAAGACATTCAGTGCAAGCGCCAACTTCACATTCACAACAATAAAATTTAAGGCTTTCACCAACATGGCGAGTGCAAAAGATTGGCTTATGAACAGCAGATTTCTCTTTAGAAGACCTGAGAGCATCAAAAGGTACAACTCTGTGGTTTTCAAAGCACCTCATAAACTCATGAGCTGAGTTGCAATTAGAACAAAGAAAATGAGAACAATCAGTACATCTAGCGACTGCTGGTTCCTTACTCTTGCAGCAGGTACAAACAACAGATTGATCCATAGAAGAAACATCAAGAATATTGGTGAGAACATAATCAGAGGGAAGTGATGCAGCCCCTCCACCAGGCATCTGGGAATAAAGTGAAATAGACATTTATTAACATGTAACAATAAAGTAAAGAAAACCCTTTCATAAAATATTGTTACCTTAGTTTCCTGCTTGCACAAGGGGCATTCCACAGCCAGATCATACTTTAGGGAATCACCTGCTTCATTTACCATCAACTTGTCAATACAAGCTTCACAAAATACATGAAGACAAGATAAAACTCGAGGACTGCATAGTTTATTGCTGCAAAAATTACAAAAAAGAAATTAAAATTACTCAAAGAGAATTCTGAAATTTACTAGGTTAGACAATTAAACACAAAAAATTTTAAATTTGTTAAATTATTATTTATTTAGAAAAAAATCTTAAATTTGATAAATTATTATTCCACACACAACTTGCAACAACCTTAAAGCAAAGACTAAATGCCATTTAATAAAAGGTGCCAATTACCAAATGAAAATGGAGGTCATTATAGACCCTATTTTAATGTATGGCAATTTGCTACTCATATAAAAGTGAAAAAATACTTGAATCAGTAATTCAATTTTTTTTTAGTATCACTGTAGACTTGTCTAGAGTAGAGTCCTCATATTGTTGATCACTTAAAGGATAAGAATACTTATGTAATTGTAACTGTTGGAAGTAAAAGTCTACTAGTGAATTTTTCGCTCCATCTTTCATAAGGTGTTTTGAAAGAAGCTTTACACCCACAGCAGGGACTTATTGAAATGATGGCAGTTGTTTAGACTATCAAAAAGTGCTATCGGCAATTTTAAATAAAAAATTCTGACTTTGATTTTAAAGGCTGAAGTTCTCAACTTCAAACCATTACCAATGACTTTTTTATTGACGTTTTTTATAATTACAAAAATTTAAATGAAAACTAAATTGCTTACTTAACAAATTCTTAAAGATTTTTGAATAACTTACTCGCAAATTTTACAGTTTTGTTCCTGTTTGCCATTTTCAGTAGGTTCTAAAGAACCTTCACCTCCAAGACTAACTAATCCATCACCATAAAGATCTCCATTAATTTCTTCCATTTTCACTTAAAATTAAGATGATATAGAATGTAAACTATGGACTCAACAACAATCTGTAACAATTGTAACTAACAATGAAAAACACAAGTTACAAATGAAATTTAATTATTAAAATTAAGAATGGATACCTGCTAATTTTTATAGTAGCATACTTAAAATGATGGTATAAACAAATAACTTATTCAACATCATTGTTATTGGCTAGTAGTAATCTTAGAAATTTTGAGGCAAAAAAAATCTGGGGGCACTGCCGTGCCCCCTGCCAAGTCGAGCAAAAAAGCGGCACGGCCATACCATCATATTCTCGAAGCAGTTCAGGCCATTTTAGAAACCCTGTAACTTCGTTGTGAATAAAACTAGTAGCCTGAATTTTCAGTAACCAAGTAGGCATTGTATAAACTCGGTATATTTCAAATTTCATTAAATTTGAACCAGTAGTTTAAGAATTATAACTAATCAAAGTTTCTTAATTTTGTCACTCACTGACTGACCGATCATCAAAACTCTAAGGCACTTCTAGCAGACGTAGAAGCTTCAAATTTGGAATACAATTATTGTTTAGTATATAAATCAAGGAAAAATTAAAATATTTTGCAATTTTGGTCCAGTTTTCGAGATACACCAACTGCATAAATAATTTTGTAATCCCATATAAATATATAGGATTACAAAGTTACATTTGCAGTGAATGAATCAGTGTACCTATATATGTATAGTATAATGGAATAATAGGTGTAGATAGGTACGTAGATATAACTATCTACAAAAAGAAATAGATGCCATCAAAAACATAATTTGTAAAAAAACCAAGTCTTGCAACTCAGTTCTTCTACTGTAAAAAGTTGTATGATCCATGTAATACCAAGTCTGTTAATTTATTCAGTCCCTACTTAAGGGCCCTTCTGTCTTAAGTTATTATGTAATTAGCTAACTAAATAACATCTTATAGTGACCATATCAATATTAAAATCTATTTATTTATAACATAAAAAAATTTAATAGTGATATGGTCACTATAAGATGTTAGTAAGTTAGCTAATAACGGAATAACTTAAGAAATAAGAACCCTTAAGTAGGGACTGAATAAATTAACCGACTTGGTATTTACATGGATCTCACAATCTTTTACGGTAGAAGAACTGAGTTGAGAGACTTGCTTTTTTTACAAGTTATGTTTTTGATGGCATCTGATATGACAGTTTAGCAATATATTCATTTACAAATAAAACAAATCTTTATTTTTTTATTTGTCTGCATATCAATATGATTAATAGAATCAAAAATGAATTTGATTTGTCAATTTTATTAATTATTTCAACTTTACTTATAAGTCCAGGGTCTTAATGTAAAATAAGCCAAACTTACTATTATATTTTTCAATGTCACATGACTTAACATTTAGATATGTCAGTCTCATTCATATTTATAATATGCCACAGAATTAACAATTGTAGAAAGTCATCTTGGCTAACCCCACTGGCTATTTTATATACAGCATAAATACAAAATGACAATACCATCAATAAGTATCAATATACTCAAAGTCACAAGAACTCTCTAGAATTTCCTAATGTCATTTTTATTACTGTTGCTGTCTTAAGACACAACTTACTTTCTATTGCTAACATAAAGATAATCCATCAAGAATAAGATAAGTACTTTGATTTAACCATATTGGCAATGAAATGTTGAAAAATTAATTTTAGTTTTAACTTTTATTACACAATTAACTCAAATGTTTAATTTATTCAAAGAATTTCCAGTTTCATTGAGTCCTCTAAAAGGAAGTTCTTGTTGTGTCAAATCATACTTATAAGTATTACTTTCAAATGCAGAATTAATGTTGTCCAAGCACAATTTATACAATGAGATATTTATGTTTTTAGGATTTCATGTATCTTTTTATGATATCTAGCATAATTTGATAAGTTATTTTGCTATAACCAGGACTATTCCAAACTTTCTTCAAATCATAGGTCTCCACATCTTTCCCTCACTATAGTCCAAACTTGTATTTTGAACAGTGTTTTGTGTGGGAGTAAAAAAATATATTTAATTCATGGATTGCAGAATTTTTATTTACATAGCATCTAGTCCACAAGCCGTTAAAATGTATTTTTTTTAAATTTATTATGACATACCTAAGCCCGCTTAAAGTATGAAGGAAAAATTGGAATCATAGTATTGTGTCATTAAGGAAGTAAATAGTAGGCAAAAGCTCCGAGCGTTGCCTCATACACACATGACCATGCACTTTTGCGCATAAATCACATACAATTTCGGATATTTGCAATAAATGTAGAAACCTTAGTTATGCATATTTTTAAAAATTAATAAGTAACACAAACATGATAAGAACAAAATAGGATGAGAACAATCAACAGTCCTACGTGTTTACATGGGTCTATTAAATTGTCTTTCATGAATTTTACAAATTTAAAATACAATACATGCACAGGTTAGATTAATTTAAAAAAAATTACTTACTTGTCAATTTAAATTTGTGCACATTTTTTTTATAAGATAAGGGTGACAAACGAGTACACAGTCCACCTGATGTTAAGTGGTTGCTGTGGCCCATAAACATCTACATTTATCCTCGATTACGAATCAAAATGCAGATGCGTTGTCACCCGTGAGGACCAAGATGGAATGCCTCGTTTCCAGTAAAAAGGGTCTCCAGTTCTCTACACTCACCATACGAAACACAGGAGCATTAAGCTGCTATTTTACGCTGGTATTCTGTGAGAGCGTGGTCCATTCCAGGTCGAGCCGACCCATTAGTGCTACAACTATACTATTAATATAGCTGCGGCATGGCTCTACCACGTACAAAACCTAGTATCAAAACTTGTATAAATTATTAAAATGCAGTTTTAATAATTTATACAAGTTTTAATACAAATTGAACACCAAATTCAATTCGGTAATTCATTCAAGAATCATGGAAAACAAATAAATAAAGTTTACATTTATTGCCATCGATGCGGTTCCACCAGATTGCAAAACCCTCTTTAGTACTTTCTTTGTGTTGAATATTAATCCTGTATAAACCAACCACAGTGATTGTTTATTTGTACAATTTTTCATTGATTAGGAAGATAGGGATATGCATACATCAAATTTATTCGTTTGCAAAGGCCGATATGAAGTCAACAAATGCAAGCGATCTTGCTTCCATCTGTATCTAGAATGACCTGGTGGAGTATGCTTCAATACATTGTCAGATCCTTGCATTTACACATCATTGGCATTTCAGATGGAGTAACACTCCAATAAGAGATCTGGGAAGATTGACAGAAGCAAGTGACTTAGGATTATGCTTTGTGGTGTTGTTTGGGAGAAGAGCTACATTCAGCAGTGGATTTGTAAGGGCTGTAATAATGATGATAAATTGTTCCCAATAAAATTATACATATAAAAGTACATGAAAATTGAAATATCATAATCAATTTGTGTTTCTTAACAGGGCACACCAGGATTTTTGGTTTGTATAGATTTACCTCCACTGATTTATTTTTAATTAAAACATACAATTAAAGAAATACATTCTTTATATTTATATTTTAAGTATTCTTTATATTTTAAGTACTAAGGGTAGGGTAGTTTTATGTCTAGCAGTCCTTGTGCTATGTTGTTTTGGGTTTCATAGGTAAGACAGCAGTACAAGACATTTCAACTTAACATCAAAGGTGACAACTCATCTGTCAGTATTTTACTATCTCTGTTGGTTGTAAGTTTTCATGGGCTTGAGACTTACCCTATATATTTAGTGTTTAGGAGCATTTAGGCATTATAATCTATGGTTTAACTTTGGATCTCTTTACAAAATGTATTTTATTCAAAATTTAAAATCACAACTGCACTCATGACCTAATTTTAAATTTAATTGGATGCAATTCTTTAGAATCAAATAGTTTCTCAATTTAAATCCAGATGTACAATGAAATGATAACCATTCAACCTATGGCCTAAGTTCAGCAGTGGACTTTCATAGGCTGTAATGAAAGCATAAATATTATTAATAAAACTATTATAAAGGAAAAAATATCTCCTCATGACTTTCATCAAATGAAGACCTTAAGTTTGAGCCATGATATTCACATTTCTTGCCATATTTTTTTTAGTATAGGCTTCACTATAACATTACATAAAATATAAATGAATTTTAAGTGTTATGCCACTATAAGTATGAAATTATTACACATTAATTTATTGTGCTAATTTTAAAAATACAACAGGACACATTGAGTACATACATTAGCCTACTTCATTCCTAGTAATCCTTTATGTGCACATACATTTTTAAGCAATTATATTAGTTATTAAATAAATTCTATTATTATTACACAAATCAATAACTTAGTCATATTATGCCACTGCATTCATATTGAAAATTTAACTTTCACTATACAAAGCAATTCACTGCTGGACTTAATTTTAACAATGTGAAGAAAATTTCATTCTATGATTTGGTCTTACCTAAAATGAAAATTTGATTAATAACAATTCCCAAATACTGTTCACATAGGAACAGTATTTGGGCAAACTTTTCCATCATTACACATAGGTACCCAATTATTCCTAATATATATTGACAATGTAAAAGCGAAAAAATAATTTTAAAGGTTCCAATATACATACCTACGACTTAGGTACACATCAAAAACGCAATGCACCATGCACGATGCAGACAATGGCGAAAGTCGATATTTCACATTCATATGTAATCTATTGAAAATATTCATGAAAAACTTAGCTTAAATAATAATATTGCAATAATTTACTAACCTTTAATAGATATTATACGATATAGCCTGATAATGAAACCCGCAGACCGTTCTACCACGCCGTAACTAAGGAAATATTTATCGCTGTGTAAATAAATAAAAAATGAGCATCAAGCTTCAACAGATATTTTTTAAATAAAATGGTTTTTTCGATGAATTAAAAGTAATGTTTTGTCAAGTTCTCATTTTAAAAAGACATCACTGTTGTAT